AAAGCTCTTTCTTCGTAACTCTCGCTCTACCTCTAAGTACTATCTCAAACTCTTAATTTTTTTTTTTTTGCCAGAACAATTAACTGTCTTTCCCCCAAATGTAGCATTTAACTAGCAAATTGTTGGTTTCATGATGCTCCCTACACTAAGATTGCCATTCAAAGTCTTCTAAGGTGGGATGCTAGCTACCATTGCTTTCTACTTCCTGTTATAACTTTTTGGTTGCATACAAAAATTTGTATTCCTTCTTTATACTTTGTCTTTGCCTTAGTTTTGTCTATAGTTTGCCAGCCTGACAAAATTCTAACATTTTCTAAGCTTAGCTACAATGTCATCATATGGCCTACTTTCCACAACTTTCATCCTGGTTTATTCCCTAAACGATCTTACCCCTAAATAGGCATATTCTGCTGTACCTCTTTTTTCCCATCAGTTTTTAGAGCTAAGGACAGGGTTAAGCATGTTCATTTTGAGTCTTGCCATTTGAAAGGCAAAACTAGGCCGGGCGTGGTGGCACACGCCTGTGATCCCAGCACTTGGGAGGCTAAGGCAAGAGGATTGCTGTGAGTTTGAGACAAGCCTGGGCTACATAGTGAGTTCCAGGTCAGTCTCAAGTACATAGTGAGACCCTGGCTCAAAAAAATAAAAAAAAATAAAAGGCAAAACTAACCACAGTGACTCAGCATCTCATAAAGTTATTTGCCTTTAAACATATATATGTATCTCTTTTAAAGGAATCAGTGGCTTCCTGTTGTGATTAAACTATTTGGTAGCCATATGGTTTGAAAAAAAGACTTACAAACTGTCATGTAATACTGAAGAATCAATGAATTGGTGAAAATTTTGTAATCGCTGATCTATTAATTTGTTTCTCTTTCCTAGGTAATACGAGGAAATAGTATCATCATGTTGGAAGCCTTGGAACGAGTTTAAATAGTAACTGTTCAGCAGGGAAATCCATTTCCCTCTTCAGAGTGCTAGCTATGACTAAAAATTGGGTCATACACATTTTCATACTAAATTTTTTGTTAAATAAACTTTTGTAAGTCAAAAATTCTTCCTCAGATGTTCTGAGTACACAAATGGAATATTGGCTCTCTAAATTGAATTTTCTTGGTGAGACTGATTTTAGACATTTTATCCAGCCAGACATGGTAGAATACATCCATAATCCCAGAACTCCAGGTAGGATATCAAGGTTTTTTTTGTTTTTTGTTTTGATTGAACTCAGGACCTTGTCCTTGCAATGCAGGCACAGCTGCCTTGAACCCGGAAGGAGCTCAAGTTTGAGGCCAGCCTAAGGTACAAAGGAGACCCTGACTCCAAAAAGGGGGAGAGTTTACATTGAAAGAGGCTTTATACATTGGAAGAATCTTACTAAATGTGAAAAATAGCGAGGATATACCTTCTCAGTGAAGATATATCTTGTTTCAGCACTGAACAGAGATAAATGCACAAACCAAGTGTGTTGGTGCATGCCTGTAAAAAGTTACAAGGCCTTCGGAGAAGGATCAAAGCTGGGCATGGTGGCACAGGCCTGTAGTCCCAGCACTTAGAAGACTGAGGCAGGAGAAACCCAATTTCCATGCCACCCTGGGCTACATAGCAAGTTTAAGGCCAGCCTGAATTTATACACGGCAAGACCTTATTTCGGAAAAAAAAAAAAAAGAGTAACTTTTGAGTTCAGCCTGGGCAATTTAGCAAGAGACCCGGTGTGAGGGGAAAAAAAAGGCCTGGGGATTTAGCTCAGTAGTAAGAGTACCACTCGGTTTGATCTCCCAGTACAGGAAAGAAAAACAAATGTAACCTGAGTGGATTTATTCTGAAACAGTAATTTTGATCTGTGACTTTTCTAAGGCTGTCCGTCTTTCATCCAAAATTATTTGGACAAGAAGTGTCTCAAATTCCAGAATATGTGTAAATTATTAATACCTTGAGCAAAAAAAAAGTCATTCATGTTTTATATACATGAACCTTATGCATGTAATTTGAAGGGTAATTTTAGTTACGTGTACCTGCATTTTGCCTGACCAGTTACATGAGAACATGTAGAATTTTCTGCCTGTGATATCAAATCAGATTTTGGAATATTTACTATACATTTACATTCAAAAGGTACTGCAACAAAAATGAAACAGTAAGTAATGACACAATTGTTTATTGTTAGCACAATCACGCAGGAAATTTTTTCAAGAGTTAGAAACAGGATTTCAGAGAAACAGCATGTTGTAACTGCCAGTAGTGAATGTAGCAAAAAATATGTTCTAGTTCATGGATTTTGTTTTCGGCTCAAAAGCTGAAATGAGATACATTACACATGATTGTATTATGAGCCTACCATTGTAAGCAAATGCCTAAAGACCTTTGTTTATTGTTTTTGTGATATGGCAAAAGCCTGCAAATCTCCAATCAGTTTAAAACTGGAAAGGTGTATACAGATGAGCTTCTAAAGTTCTTTTAAAAGACATGTATATAAATGGTGTTTTCTTTATAGAAATGACAACAGACAAATCAAGCTAATCACAGTTTAACTGATAAGTTCAGTACATTTTTATTTGTCCTTCGGCATCTCTAAATCTTCACAGATGTTGGTTTTTAAAAGTAACTGTCCAAGTGTGGTCCCTAAAATAGTATCACCTGGGAACTTAACAGAAATGCAAATTTTTGTATCCCACTATAATCGTGTTAAGTAACAAGTCCCAGGGTGAGACCCTGCAGTGTTTTAATAATTCCAAGCCAGATCCATACTCAACTCTGAACAACTGGAATAGAGTCAGCTCCCACTTAGCTCTGGCATTGTTACCAGCCTCTTCTGTAAAAAGGAGACTGGCCACCTGGAATAGCAAACCTTGAAAGTATTTTTCCTTGCATAAAATTATTTAGTGGTACAGTTACAGTAAAGCTACCCAATGTGCCTGGAGTAGAAGGTGATAATATTTTTCTTCTGGTTTAAAAACTATGTTTTTAATCCTATACTTACATTAAAAATACCTAATATGTCTGATACCTCATAACCTGTTTTGATGTTTAGAAAGCAATTTCAGATACCCTATTGGAAAATTCAGTCAGAGAGGTTTGATACAAGACCAGCAACATTTTCATTTGGAATTTTTTTATATAAGTAAAAATATATCCCATTGCAAAATGAGTCTATAAATGGTAGAAATTAAATCATTAGTATTTACCAATATTTACAGTAGTCCTATCTACAGTTTGGCTTTTCATAGCTTCAGTTACCGAAAACCAACCATAGTCTGAAAAAATTTAATGGGAAATGCCAGAAATCAAAAATTAAATACATTACAGAATACTATCATGGTTTTTGTGAAGAGTAGATACTATGTTAATCTTACCGTGCCTAATTTATAAATTAAAGTTTCTCAGTACTGTCCACTTTCAGGCAACCAATGGGGATACTGGAACATATCCCCCTTAGATAAGCAGGACTACTGTAGTATATATAACACAGTATTACAGTCTCTACAAATTGTCCTCTTTAAAACTACAAAAGGAAAAAATATATAAATCCCTCAACACTTGTGAATAAAACTAGAAAGAGAGCTAACCCTTTGATAAACCATGAGTTTAATTCCTATTTCTGTGTCAAATGGCTCTTGGCAGTTTTACCAGTATGTTCTGTAATAGTCAACTGGACTAGAGAATAAATTTTTAAGAGTCAATGTCCTCTTACACCATTTTCCTAAAATAGCTGACATAATCTTTTTTTTTTTTTGTACCGGGCATCAAACTCAGATACTTGCACTTGCAAGGCAGGTGGTGCAACCACTGAGCTAAATCCCCAACCCTGATGAAGGAATCTTTAAATGACAGTACATGTTAACCTGGTTGCAGTTATTGTCAGAATTCACAAGATTTACTTGTTCTTTCTACCAGTGCTATGCCAGTTGATCATGATCTCTGTACGGCAAACACTGAACTGGTTTTCTCAAGTTTGGCTGCATAAAGAGAAGCTCAGAGTCCTTCAGTTGATTCCAATGTGCAGGCAAGTTTGAAAGCCACTAGCTTAAGATTTCAGCAACTACCTTCTAACCTAGCATGCTACAGTAAGTAATGTATTCAGCACTCTGAACGTATCCTGGATTTGACCCAGTCTGGTGTCCTGTCATCCGGTTCTAGTGCCAACTGCTGCTTTAGGGTTGAAGTTGCCTCTGCTATTAAGACTGTCAGTGCTTATCAAGATTACTATGAAAGTTCTCCCTGAGAAGAAACATTCCTTGTGAAATAGGTCTGCTTTGACAATCGTTTGGGTTTCTTAGGACTTCTAAAGCACTAAAAACCCCTTAGATATTTCACCACCCCGACATCCAAGTGTCTCAACTCTGGCTGCACATTAGGAGCTGAGAAAATTATAATGCCAAGTTCATAGCCTCAATCCAACAAATCCCAATCTCTGCTTGTGTGGGCATATCAGTAATTTTTAAAGCTCCTCAAGAGAAGGCTTATTAGAATATCAATTTCTTAATTCCCATTATCTGCTTTCCATTTTCCTGGAGATTTTAGTACAAAATTTTAAGATTTTACTCAAAAGATTTCTGAGCTTTTCCCCTAATAAAATGGTGACAGAGCAATCTGGAAGTCCAAGATTAATGATGGGTTAATTTGGGTCAAAAGGGTACATTCCAGCCTCAAAACATCAATTTCCAAAGTAGTTTTATCTGAGTAAGGATCATATCCAAATGTGAAACTCAAATGAGCCAGTCTCTAAGATGTCTTTAAATTCTTTGAGTTCATCTTGAACATCTCTACAATTGTGATCAAAATCCAGAGCTCCACTTCCAAACCTACTGAAAGATCTCAAAAGGGAGAAGTTTGAGAATCCATGTGTTGGGTTGTTTTGTTTGTTTGTTTGTTTTAAATTGTTGCTGTTGCTACTGTTTTTGAGACAAGGTCCCACTAGGTAATCCAGGCTGGTCTTGAACTATGTAGCCTAGGCTGTCGAACTCTCAGCAATCCTCTTGCCTCAGCCTCACGAGTGCTGGGATTATAGGCGTGCACCACCACACCCAGCAATCCATGTGTTTTAACAAGCTCCAGGTGATTGCTATGATTAGACAAGTTTGGGAAACACTGTCATGGATATTGAAAGAGCAGGTTAGAAGTTCTGGAGATGTCCTAAGTGCAAGTTATCCACTGAACCTTGCATTTGCTTATGACCCATTAAAGGTTAAACGATGATAATGGCAAAATATCTGATTCAAAATCATCTCTGCTCAGATTTGGTAATTTTTTGCCAGTGACACTCACTGGAACCAGAAGGGGAAAGGGGAATAGGGTTATTTCACAGCTCTGTTTTAAGTTTCTCATACAGGCCATCTTGGTCAATCATGTCTGTACGCCCATTCCAGCGATGATAGGCAAGGAGAGCAGCATTATAGCCTGCAATGGCACTCATTTCCATGGCACTCGCAGCAAACTCTATCCCATTGAGGTAATATAGCCGGTCATGGAGCACAATGGGGGGGCATTTCTGCGGGGGCTGATACACAGGATATGCACGCCAGGTCTTCTTCACAGCATAATCATAGGACAAAAAGAACTTCATAATTTGCTTTTTACTAAGAACATCTGGGGAAAATATCTTCCAAACATATGTTCCATCTGTTGATGGTAGAGGATTTCCCTCTTCTTTTACAGGGGATACAATGCCAAGGCTGTTAATGAACAAATCTGAACTATCAGTGACTAACACTGTAGAGAGGCCAAACTGATTTTCAACTCCAGAGCCAAACACACTTGAATTCAATTCTCCCTTAATAAGAGTTGTCACTATTTGTTTGTAGAATTGATCAAATTCCTCAATTGGAGGATCAAAGTTGAGGAAAGTTATATTGGACATCTTTTGATTCAGGGGTGTGGCCACTAAGACGATGTCATAGAAGTCTGAAAGGGTCTCAGATCCAGTTTGGTAGACCACTTCATACATCTTTGTGGGATTTCCTAATGGGAATAAGGAAGTATACATTTCTTTAGTGTTTCTAACATTATACTTTACAACTTTTAAAAATAATTCTTGCCAGGTGTGGTGGTGCACACCTATAATCCCAGCACTCAGGAGGCTGAGGCAGAACTGCCACCAGTTCAAGGCTAGCTTGGGCTACACAGTGAGTTTAATGCCTCCCCTAACTACATAGTGAGATCTTCTCTCAAAAAAAAACAAAATATGTAACTGTTCTATCTTCCTGTAAGCAAGCAGTCTGAGGTGACCTGTTAAAATGGTTCCATATTCTTGACCCAGAAAACCTGACAAAATCATGCAAGTCAAGAGGATCAAATCTTCGTGTTCACTTTCAGGACACCTGTGAAACTGCCCAGGCCACCAAAGGTATGCATATCTGAAAGACCACCAAGTATCTAAAGAATGTCACTGATGAACAGAAGTGACTGATATTCTAAATAGGTATCAATCACCTTGGTGGGGGTCCAAGGTCTTAGCCCAGCCTTCCAGGAAATATCCCTGACCCTGAAAATCCTTTAACACTTGCTATGTGACTTGCTACCCCATCTGACCCCCATTTAATCAATATTACCTGGGTGACTCTACTTGTAATCTTACTGTTTTTGCCCCACCTCCTGCCCATCTTGTAATTTCCATTGGGTCTTATAGTTTTATGCCACTTCATACCCACCTTACCACATGGCTTTGCTGTAAAAAATATCTTTGGAAAGTGGGGTGGGTAGGCAACCCACTTATCAGTCCCTCTTCTGTCTCTCTTAGATAGAAGCTTGCTTTCCCTCAATAAATTTTTCCTACCCATTACAGTGCTGGATTTGGTAGGTGTGCCCAGACCAACAGTGGGGCTGGACACAGGCTGGTAGGCCAAAAAGAGTGCTGAATTTTTGCTGCACATGCTTAAAAATGCAGAAAGTAATGCTGAACTTCAGGGTTTAAGCATAGATAACCTGGACATTGAACATATGCAGGTGAACAAAGCACCCAAGATATACTGCCGTACTTAAGAGCTCATGGCTGGATTAACCCATGTACGAGCCCCCTCTGCCACATCGAGATGATTCTAACTGAAAAGGAACAAACTGTTCCTAAACCAAAAGAAGTATATGCACAGAAGAAAGATATTCCTGAAGAGACTAAACAAAAACTTATGGCATTGTACCATAACAAAAAAAAAAAAAAAAATGCAAAACCTTATGGCATTGGAATAAATTAAGCATAAAATAAATGCAAATTTAAAATACGATAACTGTTCCTTGCAATTTTATTACACTGAAGACAACTTCCTTTCCAGAGTTTTGATAAGTACAAAATGTGGAATTTTTACTTTTGTGGATGAGATTATTTCTTAAAATCCAAAGAGTCATGCCACCAAACTTGCACACATTTGAGAATATTTCTACATGGCATAACATATGCAAAGTAATGTTTCCTCATTTTGGAAGTGAGATTCCAAAAGGAAGGTTTTTTTTTTTTTTCACAAATGATCCACAGGGATGATTAGGACAAAAGAGGTCACTCACCTGCTGATGTGGTCCTTGTTTTCTCTTCTATGAACATTACTGAGCCAGGTATAAGATTGCCTTTGGAAGCCTTAAGAAGCTTTGAGCAAACAACTTTATTGCCACCTTCTACTGCCCAAAGGCCAGAATCAGCACCAGTCATTGATACTGCCCCTGTCAGCAGCAGCAAAAATGTATTTTAATTCTCACTTTGTAAGAGGTCCTTCTCCCCACTCTTCTTTCCCAATTAGATGTTCTGCTCCAAATGTCTCTAGACAACACCAAATGATCCTTCAGCCAAAATCTTGCCCAGCCAAGTACCACTAAACTAATGGATGCTAAGGATCCATTCCCCTGAAAAATGTACATCTACAAATACACAGCACTACTGACTATCTGAGATGTGTAAAAAGACAGCCTTCCCAACCTCTGGCCTAATCAAGAACCACCAAAGCCTCAGCTACTTCCTTCTGTGAGCCTATGTCCATGACAGTACTTTCCCTGACTCACCCACAAAGGCGCTGATGTTTGTGCTTTGGCCATAATTGACCTTCATGATAGGAGCAACCATTTCACTGAGGAATTTCTCAGAGAAGCCTGCTTTCTGCAAGGTTTCATGAAGCGTGTGGTTAAGCAATCCAAGGAAGTCATCCCCTCCTACAGCATGTAGCAATTTCTCTACACTGCTGAAGGCATAGTCATGAGATTGGTAGCGGTAGATCCTATTGAAAAGAAGAGAAATAGCTATTAAACACCAGAATACAGGAAGGGGATATAGAAATAAGGGAAAGAGCAACCTAAGATCTGGGGCCTCCTTCACCCTACCCCTCCTCTGAAAGTCCACTGTTCTCCACACTGGCTTAATATGGTGTCCCTTGGAGCACCTTTGAAGAAATGTGTATGTCTTTATATGATTCTTTATATCTTTCCTTTTCTTTTCTTTTTTTGAGACAGGATCTCACTATGTGTTCAGGCTGGCCTTGAAATCACTATTTAGCCCAAGGCTGGACTCAAATTTGGAGCAATCCTCCTGCCTCAGCCACCACCTCATCTAGCACATTCTTTATATCTTCTAGCAGCACTTATATATGGCTAATTTAGAGCTTTCAATGATAACAGCCAGCCACGGCACGGATGCAACAGGTTTGCCACCACTGCTTTAAGCTACTGGCACTGAAACATCAAGTTATTAAAACTCATGTAAGGGGCTGAGGATATGGCTCAGCTTGTCCAGTGCATGCAAAATCCTGAATTCAATTTACAGCAGTGGAGGACAGAAAAAGAACTCATTTAAGTTTTTCTTACATTTTTCTATAAGCTTTTACATGTTTTGTCTTATTCATTTGCACACCAGTATAGTGAAGACTTTAAAAATGAGGTCTCAGCCAAGCATAGAACACAACTATAATCCTAGCTACTCAGGAAACTGAGGTAGGAGGATCACAAGTTAGAGGCCAGTCTGGGCAATTTAGTGAGACCCTGTCACAAAATAAAAAATAAAAAGGGCTGGAGATGTAGCTCGGTGGTAGAGTGCTCACCTCGTATGTATGAGGTCCTGCATTCAATCCTCCATACTTTAAAAAAAAAAAAAAAAAAAAAAAAAAAAAGAGCACTTCTAGATCCAGACTGCCTGGGCGGCAAATCTCAGGTTCACCACCTTTTACATGGGTGAAATTGTACACTTAAAATGATGCAAGCTAGCATGGTGCACACACTTATAATCCCAGAATTCAGGAGGCTGAAGTGGGAGGATTATCATCAGTTCAAGGCCAGCCTGAAGTACATAGTGAGAACCTGTCTCAAAAAACAAAACCCTCAGATGCAGCTGGGTGTAGGGCAGCTGCTTCTAATCCAGCATTACAGGAATCACAGGAGGATCACAGATTCAAGCCCAGCCTGGGCAACTTTGTGAATAAAATTAAAAAATTTTAACGAAGAGCTAGGATGTAGTTCAGTGTGAAAGCTCTGGGTTCAATCCCTAGAACTTAAGGGCGGGGGGCTTCCATCTTCCACATCTGAAAAACCAGTATCTACCTGAGAAAGTTACCATGAGAATTCAAAATGTTAATTTTCATAGACATTTAAGAGTATCTGGCTTGAGGATCACTGTGAGTTTGACACCAGCCTGGGCTACATAGTGAGTTCCAGGTCAGTCACGATTACATAGTGATCCTGTCTCAAAAAACCGAAAAAAAGTATGTGGCAACACTAAAGAAACATTGGAAAAGTATAATTCAGAAGAAAAAAAAAAAAACTACCACCTTCAATTTCCAAGTATTTCATATTTCTGCATATTTCCTACAAAATATTTTGCCTAACAGTCTTATAAACAGGACTTGCAGCTACCTAGAGAACTTCTCCAAGAATCTGTAATCCCTAAAGTTCATCAAACTAAAAGTTCTGAGATTAGTGGAAGGGAAAAAAATTACCTCATGAACTTGTCTAACACATCTTCTACCCACATATGCATTCGAAGAGTCTGAAATCCATAGTGCCAAACTAATTTTATCATGTTTATTATAAACCAGCTGCTCTCCTCAAACACCAGAGTCTCTCCATTGTACACCCCCACTAGGCCACCTTTAGTTGGAACCGTGGAGAGACCTGAAAAACAGAAAAAGTAGCTAAGTCAGTGATTTCCACCACTGGTCAAATGACAGAAAGTAATCCAGGAGATCCTCCCAGGAACACTCTTAAGTGAGTAAATTCCTGGCTTCTCCTTGTTCTCAGGGGACCCATTAAAGAAACTCTACCTTTAGAACAGCATGACACACTCACTGAACTATCCAAAATCAGACTTGGGAGATAGGTCAGAAGATCATGCAGATACATCAAAATTAGGCTATTCTTAGTCATGGAGGAAATGGTACTAATGTGGTACCATGCTACAGGAAATATGGAGAGTAGTTCCTATTCAGATCTTATTTTTGCAAAACTAGGTATTTCAAGTAAGTGGAAATAGGCCAAAATTGCACGATATTGCTTGAGGAATCTTCAAGGCTTGCCTAGACTGCTTCCACAACCTGTTCAGCTCTTCTGCTGGCATGGATGGCAGCAGTCAGATGTCCTGAGTGCTAGGCAGCACATGGCTGTACCCAGAGCTGTGTGAAGAAATCAGACAATACAAGCTCTGGGCCTCATTTCCTCAGCTGTAAAATGAGCATTCTAAGGTTTCAGTTAGCCCAAAATAGTTTCTGATTCTTCAGCACAAACCCAGAGGTTTAAGAATTCACAAAGGTAGGCATCTCACCCCAGCCCATGGCTGTAATTCCAAATAACTAAAGATGCAGATAAGTAGTGTCCCATTACAAGACAGTGGCTCCTAACTAAACTAGTACTAAATGCCACCTGTGCACTGAGGGCAACAGTTTTATCAACTGTAAAAGATAATTAGCAAAAAAGAAAAGTTTCAGTTTTCCATATGGGAAAAATATCCAGGGATGGTCACAGAAAAATCTGCTTAGCTCTAAAATTACATACCCAGGTCTTTGACAAAACGCTTCATGTGCAGATTTAAAGGATGGATGACAGAACCGCCTGCCTCGAAGTCTTGCCCTTCTACCTTCAGGGTGGCCAACCGGCCACCTACCTCTTGTCTTTCAAATAAATCAATTTTCACATCTTTCCCAAATTTCTGCCTCAGATAATAGGCTGATGAAGTGCCACCAATTCCAGCTCCAATAATAGCTATGTGGGGGGAAAAAAAGAACAGTTGTTTTTCTCTCACCAGTACGGATTTCATTTTTGAAAGGCCATTAACTTAGTTTTGGGGGTTTTGTTGTTGTTTTTCTTTTTCTTTTTGTTTTTTGAGACAAGGTCTAGTTTTGTAATATGGGCTGGCTCTGAACCCACTATGTAGCTCAGGCTGGCCTCCTACTCGGTGATCCTCCTACCTCTGCCTCAGGAGTGATGGGATTTCAGTGTGCACCACCACGCCCAGCTCCGATAACTAATAAAAGAGGTTACTCAACAATTCAGGGAACACTGGAGGTGGAAGAAGCTGCTCTGAAGATAAACATTAACTCGATTTTTTTTCCCAGATACCCAAAGATTCTCATAGGTTTTCCTAAAGGCACCAACAGGCCTTCACTCCCTTCTCAGTGCCCAACTCATGGCAAGAGACCAAGTGGACCTTCCCAGCACGCATTCTAAATAAAGTGGCCGCCATTTTCGCCTAGCTCTAGTCTTTTGTCTCCGTGTAGACTCAAAGTAGACAGGTTAACGATCCCAAGAGATACAGCATTCACTGGGGGGTGTGGGAGACCAGGGAGCCAAATCCAAAGCGACTGAAACGAAAAAGTCAACAGAATGCAGATTGTCTCGGCAGCTACAGCAGTCCTAGGCAGAGAAACGGCAGGCCCGGCGCCTCTGAGCAGGCCGACCCTAGCGAAGCGGAGATGGGGAAGGTGTCGCAGCCTATCAGAGGCTGGGTTTGTTTGCACCGATCCCAGTGCGGTGTCTCCTGCGCACGCCTAGGGCTGGCTTCCGCAAGGTGCAGCAACAGGAAGGCGGCAAGAGGGATCTGCGCCTACCCGGAGCCCAGCCCCAAGACTGGACTGCAGGACACTTGGTCCCCATCCCCGCCCATGCCTCAACTGGGCATCTCTCCATGCCTAGGAATTCACGGTCCTGTCCTTAGGGAGACCGACAGCCGCCCAGAGGTAAGAGGAGGAGAACTGCGAAATATGCTGAGCCGCCCGGCCAGCTACGCTCCAGCGCCCTCCAGCGCCGCCCCCTCTGGCCTACCGATCTTATCCGGCGGGGCCTGCAGCTCGGTGTTCGCGAGGCACCCCCAGCTGCACAGCAGCAGCCACAGCCCAAGCAGCCACGACTCGAGCTCCGCAGATGGGCGCCCCATGGCCTCTCCGAGCGAGGAGGGTACCTTCCAGTTCCCTTCAGTCCCCGAGTCGCGGCGAGGCTGCGCGCCGTCCGCCCCGCCCCTAGACCCAGCTCCGCCCCTTCCCTGGCACAGACCCCTGCAACACCCGCCCTCCAGCAGTCACCTTCCCAGGCTGCTGGGCTCCCAAGCACACCATGTCGGTCCAAAGCTCACCCTGTTTTAGAAGACAGCCAACTTGCAGGCAAGAACGCATCCCAGCTGTTCTCCTTCCTCCCCATCCCTCTGAGTAAAGTGCCTTCAGGCCCCTCAGTGGCACGGCTTCAGAGAATGAATACTTACTAAGTGATCACTTTGTTCTGGGGACTCTTGGGCGCGAGATGAACGGGTGCATGGTGCGAGATGAAAAGAAAATGAAGGAGACTGAGGATTTGGCGGTGCAAAAGGGAGCGGAATATAGCGATGGACAAGAATAAAAGTAGTGTGCCTATAGGAGACCAGAATGTGCTACCCCAAAATATGCCTCTACTGTGAGAATTATTTCGAACTGAAATAACTGAGAAGATGTGGATACAAGAAAAGCTCTCTGCTCTTCCCCATTTTCCCAAAAGCATAGCATAAATTTACAAAAACGAAGTGTCTCTCCCCGCTCCTTTCTATCTAGGAGGACAAGAATTAATCGATGAATACAATTTAGATCTCTTAAATGCAATTTATAGTAAACTATTGTTTTAGACTGAGCAGGTGCACTAAATGCAGCAGGAAAATGGAGCCACTCATGGTGAAGTTCCTTACCACCACCCTGAAACTAAGCTATGTGACCTCCCAAAAAATCAGGAGAGATACACAATGGCCAAATCTCCAGACAAGTGAGTTTTCGCAGACACTATGGAAGTTTCCTCTGCTTAGTAACTAAAAAGTCCAATCCACTTTTTGTTCTGTTTCTGCTTTCTTCAGCCCTTTCTGCCTATACAGCCAACCTCCACTCTTCAACTCACAGAAACATGCTACTTAATATAATGGTGTTTCCTAAACATGAGTCAAGGGTCTTTGGGTACACAGCTCAGTGGTGAAGTGTTTGCCTAGCATGCTTGAGGACCTAGGTTTGATTCTCCATGCACATGCACAACAACAACAACGAAAGTTGACTGAGATTTAAATTTGTTGTAATTTTGTCCTTTAACAGACTTTAATCTGCCAGGATCAGAAGAATCTATGACAAACTTTACCAAAGACCTTTTCTCTATCCTTTATTTGCCCTCCCACAATTTGCCATCCCTACAGTAGACTCAAAATCCTTTTTCTTTGTCTTCTCACGCCTCTAAAAATGTACTGCTCTTTGTTTCTGTATAACCCTGAATTTGAAGCCACCTTTTCAAGACTTATTCATTTGGGGGGGAGGAGGTATCCTCCATGCACACATGAAATGCAAATTATTAAGCTTGACTTTGTTTTTCTCTCGTTAGTCTTTTCTTACAGGGGTCTGTCCCATCCAAGAATGCAGACTATTATATACTCTGTATACTGATGCTATATGGTAAAATGTCATGCATACATAAAAAAGAATGCCTGGCCTATAACTGTTGTCCTGATATTATTAGTTGAGAAAAGCTAGTGGGTGAGTGATGAGGTAGCATGATCCCACTTCTGAAATTACAATACTCTTACCCAAAGAAAGTAAGAAAAGTAACTACTAAATGTGACTAAAGAGAAGTGGAAATGGAACAAAACTTAGTTGAGTACAAAGAAAGGTTCAACTTGGAAACACAAAGTAGAAAATCCAGAGCAAAAAAAAAAAATTTTTTTACATTCACTGAACAAATATTAGAGTTCAGTCTAAGTGACAGGCAATGGTCTATGTGCTTGTTAAAAATCAGATTTTTTAAATTGCCAGCATGATGGCACATGCCTGTAATCTCAACAACATTCAGGAGGCTGAGGGAGGAATATCACCATGACTTCAGGACCAGCCTGGAAACACAGTGAGTTCAAGGCCAGCCTGAACTACATAGCAAGACCATGTCTCAAAAAACTAACCAATCAAGCCAGGGATTTAGCTCAGTGGCACCCCACCTGCCTTGCAAATACAAGGTCCTGAGTTCAATCCCTGTTACTGGAAGAAAAAAAAACTGATCAATAAATAAATACTCTAAAACAGCTGATATTCTAATGGAGAGGGTGGAGAGAGGGAAAGAGATGATGATTAGAATAAATGGGTAAATGATGTAGTGTAGTACATGAGGTGAGAAGAATGGAAAATGAACTGTAATTTTATTTTTTTTTTTATTGAGTTTATTGGTACATTTAGGGATACAGTACAGTTACATTCATTGTTGGGATCATGTACCTTTACATGGCAAGTCTTGATTCTCATTTTTTTCCCCTTACCTCTGCCCTCCCTTCACCCCCTCCTCCCCTCCCCATCTACAAACACTTTATTTTCATCTTTTCATTCTCTCACATTTTTTTCTTTTCCCTTTTTGTTCTTCCCCTACGTATCACACCTTCCCTACACCTTTAGCTCCTTTCCTCCCATTTCTAAATGTCAGTAATCTTATTAGAATCTTATGCATTGTTGCAGAATATTCACACCAGGGAAACTATTTGGTATTTACACATGTGGGACTTATTTATTTCACTTAGGAGTATATCTTCAATATGTATCCATTTTCCTATGAATGAATCTATTCTCTCGCTCTTTATGGCTGAGTAATATTCCATTTTATAGAAAAACCACAACTTCTTTATCCAGTTTCCAACGGATGGGCAAATAGGTTGTTTCCAAGATTTAGCTATTACAAACTGTGCCGCTATAAACATGGGTGCACATACTTCTCTGTGATATGATTCTTTTAGTTCTCTTGGAAAGATACCCAACAGAGGGATGGCTGGGTCAAATGGAACCTCCAGTCCAAGCTCTTTGAGGTATCTCCATATTGATTTCCATAGTGGTTGCACTAGTCTGCACTCCCACCAACAATGGAGGAGGGTTCCTTTCTCCCCACAACCCCGCCAACATTTGTTATTGTGTGATTTCTTGATAGCAGCCATTCTTTGTGGGGTGAGGTGGAATCTCAGTGTTGTTTTCATCTGCATCTCTCGAATGACCAGTGATGTGGAACATTTTTTCATATATTTTCTTGCTGCTTTCACTTCTTTGTATGAGAAATGTCTGAATGAACTGTAATTTTAAATACACTGGTATCTTTCTGCTTCCGGACCTCCATGAGGCCAGCAGCTTCCCCCAGGCCCTTTCACTATTGCTTCCTGCCTTAGAGCCAGCCAGCTATGGACTGAAAAGCCAATTAGTTTGGAAAGAATTTAGCTCTATCATGGAAGCTAAGAAACAAATGTCTATCTCTGAGGTGAATTCCCTTCATGAACTGAAATATCCAAACATGGAAACATCTGAAAGTGTTACTATGATCCCATTATTGACCACAGTGACACAACACTATTCATTGTAGTGGAACATTTGGAAGGAGGGGACCTGGCTACTATAAGGGAACCAAGGAAGGACAATATTTAGATGAAGAGTTTATTCTTCTAGCTATGACTCAGTGTATGCTGGCCCTGAGGAATATCACAGATGAAGTGATGGCGGTCATACTATGCTGCATCAGGGTCTGAAAAGAGCAAATGCTTTCCAGGTTGGCAATCAAAGCATCAAACTTGGAGGCTTTGGGCTAGCTAGGATATTAAACTCTGCTGTGATTGTTGCAAAAATATTTGTTAGCACACCTTATTATGTGTCTCCTGAATGAATGAATTACATGTCCTATAAGGAGAATCAGACATCTGGTCACGGAGTTGTTTGCTGTATGAATTGTGCAAATTAAGAGGCAGGATATATCATGTACAGGTGCAAATTCCTTATGAGCATTATCATTATGTATATCTGAAATGTACCAATAAATGTTTTGCTTTAAAAAATGAATTGTGCACATTAATGTCTCCATTTACAGCTTTTAACCAAAAAGAACTAGGAAAATCAGAGAAGGCAAATCAGGCCAATTCCATATGGTTACTCCGGTGAAATCAATGCCATTATTAGGAGGATATTAAATTTAAAGGATGCCCATCACTTCTGTTGAAGAAATTATTGAGAATCATTTGATAGCAGACTTGATTGCAGAAGAGCAAAAAAAAGACATATTGAGAAGAGAGGGTGAAAAGTTGCAGGATTCCAGCCCTGTACTGAGCAAGCTGAAACTGAAGAAAATACAGTTGAACTTCTTGTGTAGCCCAGGCTGGCCTTTTGAATTCTTGGTGATCCTCCTGCCTCAGCCTCCCAAGTGCTGGGATTACAGGCATGCACCTCATTTAGTGTGATTCTTTAGTTTTCCAGATAAATGGATGGATGGAAAGATAGATAGATGGATAGATAGATAGATAGATAGATAGATGATAGATAGACAGATTGATAGATAAAGATGGTCAAGGTAGGCCTCATTGAGTAAGTGGTCTTTGAGCAAAAATTTGTAGGAAGTGAGGGAGTGAGCCATGTAGATATGATGTTGGGAAAGAGGAAACAAACAAAAAAATACTAGACATATTTAAAGGGCTACCTAGAGAACAAAGAAACACAATGAGAAGGGGCGGTATGAAGATTTTATGGATGAAGATGCAAATGCTTCCAGAAATAAACACTTCTACTTAACAAAAATAAGGATATTAAGTCTCTTTTCACTTACATCTAGAAATGACAAAAAAATTAAACCATGGTTTTGGGTCTCCATTCCAACTATATTATGCCCGTAATACCTTATATTAACTATATTATGCACATAAAACCTTGTATTAACTATAAAAGGCCCTCAATAAATACTTGCTGGATGACTAAAATTGGCCATGTTACTGACATTTGACCCAAGGGTCATATTTAAAACTGACTTCTAAACTGGGCATGATTGTGCACACCTGTAATCCCAGCACTCGGGAGGCTGAGGCAGGAGGATCCCTGTGAGTTTGAGACGAACCTGAGCTACATAGTGAGTTCCAGTTCAGTCTCAACTACATAGTGAGACCGTGTCTCAAAAAAACAAACAACAACAAAAAAATAAAACTGACTTCTGCCCTGCATGGTGGTGCATGCCGTAATCCCA